TAAGTGAGTTGAGCGCACAAGAGGAGTGAGAAGGTGTGGAGGAGAGTAGGAAGGGAAGTGGTAATGGTGTTAAAAGTATCAGGAAGTCATCAAGCGGCCGCATCGTTCGTTGACTGCTGCCGCTATTTGATGACTGTAATGGGCTGATTAAATGTCCACGCTCAAGCCTCTGACCTTAGTTCGTGTCTTGTCCCGGGTGAGAGGCTGGAGGCTGTGTGTGGGGGGGCTGGGGTCAGCTGGGGGGGGGGTGTACACACATTCACACACACACACACACACACATTCTCACGTACACACGTACACATACTCGTAGCTCGGGTCCAGGAGCTAAAGCACTACACTACATGAGTGCTGGCCTACAATTATGTCGTACAAGGCATTTGGCACATCATACTGCATGTATTCTGTTTGGTTGTACTGTTAGGCCTATGTGGTAGAGTTCACTAAGTACATTAGTGTGTGATGTACTAATGTGTAATGTACATAATGTAGAGTACATTAAGCAGTCTTGGTGTGTGAGTAGTGATGGGTTAGGCCACCTAAGTCTGCATTGTTAAAGAAGAGGGAGAGTGCTGAAGCTCTAGGCCTATTGCCAGGGTAGGGCCGTAAATTATATACAATTTTTGTTTCAGACGTTTTCAGGAATGTGTAATTTATCGTACTGAAATATAGAAAAATATTATTTTTGTTATTTTTTATTTGAAGTCTCGAGTGCAGTGTAAGCCTGTCAAAATTCGCAGCTTGTCCAGTAGTTTCTAAATAAAAATACTCAATATTCATTGTCGGGGGACAGGCAGCCAGTTTCTACATGCAGTACATGTTAGGCTTATATTGCCCCCCCCCCCCTCCAGGTTACCTTGCGGTAACCTTGCAATGATTTCTGGGCTTGGCATCCCCGCGGCCCGGTCCTCGACCAGGCCTTGTCCCTCGACTAGGCCTCCCAGGGTCAAGCAAATGACCCCCCCCCCCTCCTCCCAAGGAAACCTACAGGATGTAACCCCACATCAGGCTGACTAACTCCTGGGTACCTATTTACTGTTAGGTGGACATTAGGTGATCGGAAATGTGCCCAACTATTCCTGCCCCCACCAGGGATTCAAACCTGGAATTTTTTTTTCTTGATTGTGGGTTGTAGGAAGGGTTGTGGGATTCTACTTCTACACCCCAAGCCCTTGGGCTGGGCTTGGGGAGTACAA